ACTCGAACTGTAAAGCTGCTAATATCATTCCGAAAATAAGACTCCAAGACTACAAACTACATTTGGCAAAATGCTGCTCTTAACAATAAGAATACTTCTGAATAACAGGACATTGAACGAATCCCTGCTACCTTTTATTACCAGTCCATATTTTACTTACAGATAGTCCTTACTTAACAGCCCTAACTGGGGCTGGCAATTCGGTTAAGTAAAAAAAAAAAATCGCATAACTGCCCTCTTTAGCGAGAGCATTTCCAGCAACTTCAGTTATGGTCATTAAGTGAATCCCCTGCATTCATTAAGCAAAATATCGCAGTGCTATTTGTGACCTCCTGCTGGCTTCCCCATTGACTTTGCATTTTGGAAGCCAGTGGAAAGGTCACAAACGACGATCATGTGACCGCAGGAATGTGTGACAGTCGCAAATGTGAGACAGTTGTCACACTGCAATTACGGGACCACAGGGAGGCTACAATGGGTTTAAGTGCAATGGCAGTGGTAAGTCTCTCTTTTTCAGCACTGTTGCAATTTTGAACAGTCACTAAGCAAATGTTTGTTAAGGGAGAACTATCTTGTATTTGTTTCATACACAATTCTTCTGCCCACCCACTCCCTCTTGTGGTGTCACTTTGAGCCAAAGACACACCAAAACACAGCACTAAATAGCAAGCATGCTTATAAAGTTTCATTTCATCGAGCCCACCCCCTGCAAAGTCAACGTTATCTATACAAATATAGTCTTCACATTTTGTAGCAAAATTCACATTAACTGAAGCACTGAATAAAAATCTCCTCTTCCTACCTGAGCAATCCCCATCCATTCTGTAGAATACACCCATATAACACCCCCCCCCCCACGCACATACAACAAGGTGAGTTTCATTAAAGCAAACATCTCACTTTCTGCACTAAATTTTATCACTATTACTTTGTTAAGGTCCATGTGGGATAAGAACCATCTGGTACATCCTTGGGCATTAGCATATACAACTTTTTGGTAAAATAATTTCTGGTTGCAATTGTAAAATATTCTCAGTGAAATGTTCGCTGTTTTGGACCAATAGTCTCGATCTATGTAGATTTGCATTCTTGAACATTTAAAACCAGCAAGGGACAGAGAAGGAATTTGTTCTGATTTTTTGAGGATTCCAACATCCAATTTCTCCCAAATCTCTGATTTTCCTTGAGGCTGTTATAGCAGCGCTGCGACCCTCCACGCTCATCCCTGGCATCATCAGAACTTCATGAGGTTCCGATGCACCTTCTCAATTTAATCCAAACAGATCCAATCTGATAGAAAACGTTCCTTGCAAAACCACAACCGAAGCGAAAGACACTGTCTCTCAAACGCTATAGCTGCGGCGCGATTTCATAAACTCATTTTAAACCACATTCTTCAAAGACTATGCAAACCGGACATTTCCCACAGCCATAAACAATCCCTAGCCATAATGAAAAGATTGAATATTACCTATTTCACCGGGGTTTACCTTTCGGAGGAAAGCACCACTGACTGGCATGGGAGCTGTCCTTTTAGTTACATAACTTTTTCTTTTCTTTTCTTTTTTAGCTTCCGTTTACCCAGAAGCGATCAAATACTTGCCCGTTTCTCCGAGAGACTTTCACCGCCCGTCCGTTACTCCTACCTCTTCTCCTTTTTTAGACCCCCCCTGGAGGTTTTTCCTTCTCTCTTCTTCCTCTTCCTCCTCTTCCTCTTTCTCTTTAAAAGCCTTGCTTGCTTTCTGTGGAATTTCTTTAAGGAGCAGCTGGCATCTCCGGGTTAATCGGTGAGCGGGTGGCTTAGAATCCTGTTAAGTCTATTAATTAGTTTAANTGTTGGAGCACCCACAACTTCTGGAGGCAACTCATTCCACTGGTTAATTGTTGTCACTGACAAGAAATTTCACCTTAGTTCTAGCTTGCTTCTCTCCTTGATTAGTTTCCATCTACTGGGCAACAGTTGTACAAGATCTTTTCTGGAATCATGGAAAGCTATAGCTGCCATCAACACAGATAAGCAGGGACCAAAATGGTCAAATAAATGAAACCTCTGTTATGACAATTCAATCCATTTTATGAACTTGTGTCTGATAAGGCAACACAACTCTGAATGGACGGAGCATACAGAATATCACAAAAAAACATCTTAAGGTCCTCATATTTACAGTTGGATCACTATTGTCAACTTGGTACCTTCTGGATGTCGTGAGCTTCATCTTCCATAACCCCTAGCCTGCAGGATCAAAATTTTAGCTGAGAATTATGGTCATAGAAACAGATCAAGAAGGTACCAAGTTGGGGAAAGGAGATGTAAATAAAGTCAGTTTTGATTTGAGCTTGGCGCCTTTAACATATGCCACTATCTTGATAAAAAACCAAACTGTTGAGCCATTGCTATTTTCCAGGATGCAACTGTACCTGTGGCCTGTCTTTTCAAAATTAAATGGCTTAGTGATCCAGTAAGCCACTGTTTTAACAACAGCTTGAATAAATGAATAAATACATTACAAAGCTGTAAACAGTGGGCATACAAGCCTCAGTGGTTGGATGGATTCACAAATATAGTAAATCTAAAATGAACAAAGCTCAAATATAACTTGGCTTGCTGCGTGATCCAAACCACTTCTTGTGTTCCTGTTTATTACTTGGACTATGAGGATTTTGGCTGAACCAGGTTTTACATTCTCTGCCAAGTGCCTAAGGTAACATCAAACCAATGAACACCGGTTCTATGGTTTATTCATGCATTTTTTTTCCTTGCTGCAGGCTTTGTTGGTAGGAGTGACACGGTAAAATTAGGTTACAAGCACTTTTGGACAGAATGTTCTTCTTGAGGTTGACTGAATGCAGCCGTCTTCCCAAATCTGGTGCCATGGTGGCTATGGGTTCCAAGTGCTTATGTTTAACCCTTTTTAATCGTGACAGTTTGGATGAGGCTAAGCTTGGATGAAGGAAAGTTAAATTGTTAGCACATTGCTGGAAAGGTGCACTTTATAAAGATACAAATGTCTACAGATCAAATATAGAAAAGAAGGGGTATGACAGTAACCAAGAACACCAAAGTTCAAGTCAGAGAAGAATTGGAGGTTTTAAAGAAGAGATTGGACTGGCATTTGTCCGGAATGGTATAGGGCAGGGGTGTCAAACTCAAGGCCCGTGGGCCGGATTCAGCCTGCTGGGTGCTTAGATCTTGCCCACAGGGACACCCTGGAAACAGCAAAGGACTGGGCCACAGTGCCTCTGCCAGCCGAAAACAGAGACCCTCCTGAGCTCTGTTTTCAATGGCAGAGGGTTGCGGGAGGCCTTCCCAGCCGAAAACAGAGATTGGGAGCCCGTTTTCGCTGGCAGAGCGCTCGGGGCACCACAGGGGTTCCCGACAAGATTGATGTCAAGCTGGCCACACCCATCCCGCCAGGGGTGGGTTTCTCGCCCCGTTCCAACTGGTTCGGTTGGAACGGGGCCGGCGGCGTCCTCGTGCACNTTTACAGAGTCAGCATATTGCCCCCAACAACAACCCAGGTCCTCATTTTACCCACCTCGGAAGGATGGAAGGCTGAGTCAACCCTGAGCCGGTGAGATTTGAACAGCTGAACTGCAGAACTCTTCTCTATGGTCAACTACCATTTGAGTTGCTCCGTCTTTTCATTCCATCCACCACTCCATCTCTCTTGATAAGTAGAACGCAGAACATAGAATAACAGAATTGGAAGGAACTTTGAAGGTCTTCTAATCCAACCCCCTGCTCAAGCAGCATACCCTAAACCATTTCATACAAATGGCTGCCCAATCTCTTCTTGAAAATCCTCAATGTTGGGGCACCCACAACTTTTGAAGGCAAGTCATTCCATTGGTTAATTGTTCTCACCGTTAGGAAATTTCTCCTTAGTTCTAGGTTGCTTCTCTCCTTGATTCTTCATCGCCATCCATCCATTGTTTCTTGTCTTCTATTGTTTCTTGTTTATGCTTATATTTGAACTTAGGAGAATTATTCAAGGCTCAGCTCAGAATAGTCATAAGAAATAAGCAATGATGGGATTCAGCCAGTTTGCACCACTTTGGGAGAACTGGTTGTTAATTTTCTGAGAAGTTTGGTGAACCGGTTTTGGAAGAAATCATTAGGGCAGAGAACCGGTTGTTAAATTATTTGAATCCCACTACTGGAAACAACTGATATATGATTATTTCTAAAACATCTTATCTCATTCATTTGTTTCTCTTTTAATGCTCCCTGAATAATTATTTTCTTTCAGACCATTTTGTCTATATATGCCAGCATTCACCACTATTCTATGTTAACATTGTACACAAATGTTCAACCCAATCTTAGGCATCAAAACCAAAGAAAATTGCCGCATTAAAAACTCTCATTCAACCCTTCTTCTCCTTGGGACACCTGCTAATGATTTATTATAGACAATCTAGTTCCTGTCTTGATTTGACATCAAGTTTACCCCTCTAACTTCCTGTTAGTCCTAAGAATTTATTTGTTCTCTCATCTTTTGCCTGCAGGGCAACTTTTGTAAAAAAAAGAATATGAACCAAAGTTGGTCCTGTTCCATTCCATTTCTTGGTCCTGTGCATATACACACACTGATATATGTGTGTGTGTTTTTTTAAATGAACCAAAAGTAAAGAAAAAAGAAATAGTATATTGTGTGTGGGAGGAGGAGGAAGAAGAAGAAGAAGAAGAAGAAGAAGAAGAAGAAGAAGAAGAAGAAGAAGAAGAAGNTGGATGACTTACTGGATTGGAGGAGCAAAAAAGGGACAAAGTTGCAATGTGTACTGAGAACACAGGAGAGCTGAAAGTGGTATTTTTTGAGCTGGGAGCAGGTTGCTTAGAGGGGATATGAGCCAAGTTGTGTTGGCTTTGGGTACTGAAGAGCCAATCTTTATGTGATGGCAGAAGCCATCTTGGGTAAAAGCTCAAGAATGAAGAAGAGGTAAGAGGCATGTAGCACTCTCAAAATATTTCAGCTGTCCTCCAGATTCTCCCAGAACAAAGAGTCTTGTATTTACAACAATACCCCAAATAATCTTTACAATGCAAGGATCATTCATGGAAAATATGTTTTTCATTGTTTTAAATTCAGTTTCTTTTAAGTCAGCATGAGTATTTCCTTTCCAAGCATAACAGGAACTGCTCAGTTCTACATGCCTCTTACCTCTTCTTCATTCTTGAGCTTTTACCCAAGATGGCTTCTGCCATCACATAAAGATTGGCTCTTCAGTACCCAAAGCCAACACAATTTGGCTCATATGTCCTCTATGCAATTTGCCCCTCTATACCACTTTCAGTCCTCCTGTGTTCTCAGCACACGCTGCAACTTTGTCCCCTTTTACTGCTCCAATCCAATAAGTCATCCATGGATCACAAGGGAGCGCTTTAACTCACCCAAAGTGTTGACCATGCATACCCCACACATATCCAGGGTGAGCAAGGTATGGTAAACAGCAGGACCTCCCTCATGATTCATGAAGAGATGGTAAAGCACGCTGCCCAGCTGTGGAAAAATGCAAGCTAAATAGTGCACGACTCCCAGCCATGATTCTGAAAGTTGAGCCCATGGAATGGTCAGCGGCAGCACGAAGAGAAACCCCAGCAGAGGGATACCTTAAAGAAAAGGAAAGAAACAACTGAGAGAGTCCATTTAGTACCAGAGAGCCCTGCCTCTTTTTGCAATCCTATCTGCATTTCCTGCATCGTATCCCACCCATAACAGGTTTGCCCCAAGCAGCATCCTTTGTTCATCAGCTGTCACAGAGGAATGATGAAAGATATTTCATGGATCCAGAAATTGCACCAAAACATTTTTGTGTAGGGACACTCAACTTATGGGCCCTCCTTTTAAGAGATACTTTTGCTTTAGTACAGACTTCCCTAATCCTTCCAAAGCTTTGTGACTTCCTAATGTGTTGAAATTGCATGCAGGTTGGGAATTCTGAAGGTTGAAATCCCAATATATCTGAAAGGTACCAGACTGGGGGAAGCTGGTTTATTGATTTCCTCTTGTTTACTTCAGGTGAGGAAACTTTCGGCAACACTCCAAAATATTAGGGGACAGGGATGAAAGAAATGGCATCCTTGTCCCAGTCATTTTTGTGAATGATATACTGGAGATTTCTCAGAAGAAAGCAGAAATACAAAGAGAAAAGGTTAGAATTAAAAAAACACTTGCAGATCTCCAGGTTTGTGATATACTTAATCTACACTATTAAAATTTCTCTTAGGTTCTCTGAGCAGACGTACAGATGTACCATAATATCTGTTTCTCAATGTTGGCAAATTTAAAATGTATGGACTTTAGCTCCCAGATTTGCAGTTTAAACTTGCCGACATAGAGAAACACTATAATATCTCTTTGGGGGGTTTACATGATTTCCAGACACCATACATTGTCTACTTATGACAATAGAGTCCAACATTTCTGTTGCTAACCAAGACAGTTGTGAGTTGTGGCCCATTTTACAACTTTTCTTGCCACAGTTGTTAAGTGAATCACTGCAGTTGTTAAGTTAGTAATATGGTTGTAAAGTGAATCTGGTTCCCAAGTGACTTTGCTTGTCAGAAAGTCACAAAAGGTGAACACATGACCCCAGGACACTGCAACTGTCATAAATAAATGCCAGTTGCCAAGTGTCTGAATTTTGATAATGTGACTACAGGGATGCTGCAAGGGTTGTAAGTGAAAAACAATCATAAGTCACCTTTTTTCAGTGCCACTGTAACTTTGAATGGTTACTAAACAAATGGCTGTAAGTTGAAGACTTACTCTGTGCATTAACTATCCATCTATCCAGGTTCTGGCATAAAGTGGTTGCAGGGAAGGATTTCTAGAGATGCTATGCTATCAGAATGGCATATGTCTGTGATGGCGAACCTATGGCACACATGCCACTGGTGGCACGCGGAGCCATGTTTGCTGGCACGTCAGCTGTCAGCTCCGGTGTGCATGTCAGCTGCTTTTTGGCCTTCCGGAGGGCTGGGGGAGGCCGTTTTTGCCCTCACCAGACTTCAGGAAATGCTCCAGAGGCTGGGGAAGGCAAAAAACAGGGCCAACTGGAAATTTGAACAGGCTCTGTTTCCGGCTTCTGGGGGGCGGGGGAGGCCGTTTTTGCCCTCCTCAGGCCTCAGGAAAGCCTCCGGAGCCTGAGGAGGGGTCATGTGTGCATGCACGGGGGGGATCGTACACGCATGTGCAGGTGGGCGGGGAGGATTGAATTGGTGTGGGCATGCATTCGCGCACGATGGCATGTGCATACACAATTTTGGCACACCATGAGAAAAAGGTTTGCCATCACTGGCTGAGAGAATAAGGTTAAAAATCTGGATTATTTGGGTAAATAGGATGAGGTTATTTGAGGAACCTGATAGACTCCATCTTGAATATCTGACCAGCAAGCAAGCTTTTCTGGAAAATCACAGCTTGGAGCATAATCAGAAGGTGACAGTGACCTGGTCAGAAATAGCCTGATCCCTCCCTTTGTAACAGGAAGTAACAGGACATGTTTTGCAGGAAGCCGGTAATGATCTTATTGTTTAGTTCTGGGAAAGCGGGGTCCTTTGGGGCTTCTGAACACGTATGTTTTGGGAACATTTGGGGAATTTCCATGTACTTTTCATATTGTATTTTGTGCACGCAACTGTATTTTTTGTATCCAGGTTATGATGCATATGATACGTCATTTTGTGTATTTAAGGTGCGCCTATGCACCTTGTAGGTATTCTCATTTGGATGGGAATCCACTTGCACAAGTGACATAGAATAAAATGCTTTCTGTTGACCATAACCTCCTTGCCATTTCTTTGTTATGTAGAATTATATCTGGGATATTTTTCTCACACTGGCATATGCAGTCTACTTTCCTTTAAGCTCTCAGAGCAGAGAGATACAGATGTTACATTACTTCATGTCCCTCCGTACAGAATTTTACATGACTTCCCCATTCTGAAACCACTTCCCCATATTCCTTCCTGGAATCACCGAGTGCTGGGACCTGAATAGCTCCTAAAGATTCTGGTTCTTCTCAGAACCATGTGGAGCCCTCCTCCTGAGTAGTCAGATCACCCTGCACTGACTCTGCCTCCTCTCCATTCTCCGCACTCAGGGACTGGGCGGAGAAAGCATGTGCTTGTCTCCAGAGCTCCTCTGCTCTGCTGTCTGACCTTTCCATCTCCGCCCCACTTCCTCAGTCCACCTGCGCCCTTTCTTCCTCCCTGCCTACTCTTCCAAGGCCCAAGGGACCTGGAACTGCCTCGTCCTTGTCCCCAGGTCATTCCTTATGGGCCATAGGGGCTGCACCCAACCCCTCCATCAGCCCCAACTCCATCTCTTCCTCCTCATCAAACCTAGGCTCTGACAGGGCCACAACACCATCTCTCCATAAGCAACTCTAGACAGCTTATAATCATTAAATTAAAATGCAGTATAAAACATTAAAAAATAAATAGGGATGTTAAATTTAAATTTAAAATTCAGTTAAAGCAGGGGTGTCAAACTCAATTTCATTGAGGGCCACATCAGGGTTGTGTTTGACCTCAGGGGGCTGGGGTGGGTGTGGCCAGGGTGGGTATGGCCAGCATGATGTCACTTGTGTTGGGGGGGGCACCTGTGGTGTCCCAAGCACTCTGCCAGTGAAAATGGGCTCCCGTGCTCTGTTTTTGTCTGCAACGGCCTCCTGCTATCCTCTGCCAGCAAAAACGGAGCTCAGGAGGGCTGCATGCGGCCCTCATGAGCTCAATTTTCGCTGGCAGAGGCACCGCAGGTCAGTCCTTTGCTATTTCCACGGCAGCCCCACGGGCCAGATCTAAGCACCACGTTGGTCGGATCCGGCTCCTGGGCCTTGAGTTTGACACCCCTGAGTTAAAGTAAAGTTGACCAGGTTGGAGAGGCAGGGAGCAAGGTGGGGGAGTAATATTTAGAAAGAAAACCTTGAGTATCTTAAAACATTCCAAGAGTGCTGCTTCTATCATGAAAAGGCTCACCAAGAACTGACAACCTTGGTAGAGTAGGTTACTTTATCTTGATAATGCAAAGAGAAAACTCCACTTTTTAAATCTGGCCATAACTCCATCCACAAAAGGAAGGGCAAAGTTTTATTCCAAGAATTCCTCTAAATTCAACACTATCTAAATCAGTGGTCTGGGGGGCTACAATGTCATCAGAGGAGCTTGAAGAAAAGTTATAATTTAAATCTTATGTCTTGGGGGTCTGTGGCCTTTGTCTGTGGCCACAAAAAATATTTAAAGGGGGTCTGTGTTGAACAAAAGATTGAGAATCACTGGTCTAAACTAACAGTTCCCCAAACCTGGACTCCCCTACAAACCCCATAATACAAAGCAGCACATCTCTGACTGTGACAATCAGAACTACAGGAAACCACATCTTCCAGGTTAAGGAAAATTGACATAATTTTCCCTGCCTAAGCTAAACATTGGAATGTGGATATTTTATGTCCAAAGCACATACAGGTAGTCCTCGGCTTACAACAATTTGATTAGAGATTGTTCGAAGTTATAATGGCACTGAAAAAAGTGACTTATGACCATTTTTCACACATATAAACATTGCAACATTCCCATGGTAACATAATCAAAATTCAGGCACTTGGCATTTATGACGATAGCAATATTGTCATATCAATATTTATGATGGTTGCAGTGTTCCAGGGTCATGTGATCGGCGCAAGAAGCCTCCCAACCACTGCCTCTTTGCCAGCCACATCCAAGCTGGCAGGAGCGGCTGCAGGCTTCTTGTGCTGCAAACTACCGACCTCTGCTTCTCGAATGCGCCAAAAAAGAGCTTCAGTTCAGTCCCGCCACCATCACCAGCTGCCCTGTTCTTCTGGCGCAGCAGGCAATGGGGTACGCATGTGCGGCCGGCATTGAGCAGGCAGGTGGGCGGGGCGAGTGAGTGGCAAGCAGGCGGGCGGGGTGAGCGAGCAGCAAGCAGGCGAGCGCACGGCCAGACAGAGGTGCTATTTACTGGTTCGTTGAACCAGTCAAAATTTCCGCTACCGGCTTGCACAAACCGGTCCGAACAGGCTGAATACCACCTCTGATGTACATATACAGTACATACATAAACATGTGCAAAAGGTATTATACAAGGCCAACACTTTTGTGCTTAAACACCCAAAACACCTTTGCAAGAGTTCATATCAGCTTCTCCTTGCCACCTACATCATCAGCTGCTAAAGTGTAAACCACTTAGATCAGAAACTACTTTTTCAACATACCTGTCTACATGGTGAATCACGAGTTGAGCATCTGTAAACCAACGTGTTGTATCATAGACTGTGTATATAGTTCAAGACTACTTATTGCTTGTTTTGGAGAATGTTTATCCTACTTTATTTTTGTTAACACAAGTAAAGTTAGCCTTGTTTTAACTTTGGTGGCTGTGATTGATAGTGCGATTATTCAGAGGCACACTCCTTGCTACCTTCAGCTATTCAACTCTAGTCTCCAAAACAAGATATACTTAACAGTATGCATATGTGCATGTACTTATTCAACACGGTGCAATTCTTCAAGGAAGAAACTACAAATATCTCACTATAAAGGATATGACTTCTTCTACTTCTT